GCTTTCTGTCTCTCTGTCTCTCTCTGTCTATCTGGGGAGCGCAAGCACCCTATAGCAAAAACCTCTCTAAAAAAAAAAAAATTCACACCAGATACGTGTGCATGTGTAACCAAAATCCCAAGAGGAGAATGAAGAAGACAGGATTGTGGTGTGGCCATTCCCCCTGGGGGACAGGGATGATTTCTCACTTTCTGTCTCCCTGTCTCTATCTCTCTGGCAAGTGCATGCATCGTACAGCAAAAATCTCTCTTTTGGAAAAAAAAAGAAAAAAGAAAAGAAAGAGGCAAAAGGATTTTTTTCTTTAACAGTTAACTTATACATTTTCTCTTCCTGGAATTAAATATTTTCATAGCAGGGAACAGTTAACAATCTATAACTGAAGTAATTAATTGGTAGTTAATAGGTTAAAAGTTAAAGAATATTCTTTGACCTTTAACTTTAACCTTGTCACTTTTACTGAAGTTAAAGGTCAGAAATAAATCATTATGGCCAGGGATAGCCACATGAGGCGGCAGAATATTTAGTCACTCACATCATGTGAAGGGTGCTGGGAGGGCCCATTGCCTAAAAATACCTCCCTGACATCAATCCTGCTTGCTTCCTAACTTTAAAATTATAGTAAAGAATGTTAAAACTATTATCTGCTAATCCCATTCTCTTTTGCTTGAGTCAGTGATTGAAATACACCTGGCTATATATACATGCATTATCATGACCTCGTTGGCTAACCACGCTTGGTCACCACCTTCTCCTCCAGGCTCTGTCCTCCTCTGCCCTTGGTACCATCTAAACTGCCAGCATGTCTGTGGCCGTCACCATGCAGGTGGCTCTGTGTGGTGCTGTGGTTTCTACAGACCTTCTCAATAAAACATCAAGGAACTATAAGGGAAAAGCATGAAAGAGCCAGAGACTCTGGGGCCATGAGTCAGACACTTCTTAGAGCCTCAGTTTCTTCTCTAGGAAATGAAGAGGTTAGACTAGACCTTTTCCTTCGTTCTGAGTGGTCCACACAACACTGCAGTTCACCTCAAACTGAGTTACTGCTCCCATGTCAGGGTCCAAACACTTCCCCGTTTCTTTAAAGAAGTATTTCTTTTTCAGACTCACATCTGGTCCTTCCACTGACTCATATTCCACTTAAACTACATCCAGCACATCCAGTAAAATCTTGCTCAGTACAGATCTTTGGACCATAAATTACATTATTTTGACTGCTGTCACCTCTAGGAAGTGAAACTTTATAAAACTCATGTTTTGGGGAGAGCGTGTTGGCCATATACTTGACGAGAGTGCATTTTTAAGAGAATGGGATGTATTGCATTTTCAGACAGGAAGCTAGTATTTACGTGTGAACACAAGTGTGTGGGAAAATAGCTCCTGGGTAAACATGTTCTGTCTCAGGCATAGTTTTTTGTCAACTTTTTCACAGTGAAGAGTTTCTGTGGGACCAGCAGTTAGCATAATGGCTATGTCGCTGGACTCCCACATAGTCCACCGCGGTTCGCATCCCGGACCGGGTGGCTTGGAACTCACGCTGGGCGCGTTTGCGTGCATGCCCAAGATCCCGAGAGGAGAATGGAGGAGAAGGGATTGTGGCGTGGCCATCCCCCCTGGGGGGTGATTTCTCGCTTTCTGTATCTCTGTCTCTCTCTGTTTGGCTGGCGAGCACACGCACCCTATAGCAAAAACCTCT